AAATGATCTAAATGAGTTGTTGTTAAACATTCATAACAATATTATGTTGCATTTTAACAATTCTGATTCAAGCAAAATCCAATTATTTCTTCATTTTCATGATTTAGGTATTTACACTTAAAGAATTCCATTTGAATCTTAAAAAATAAAAATAATAATAAAAATTCATTAATTAACTTTATACATAAATATCATTAATTTATATAATACAAATTACAATATATTTTTTAATCAGAATTTTCTATTATTTTCCATTTCATTTCCTAGAATATTTTCAAATTAATTAAATTAATTATTTATCATAGATGACTTTATTTTATATTTGCATTATTAATTAATCCTTATCTATATTTTTATCAATTATTTAATAGTGAAAAGTTATTTATTAAAAATAATCAATGGTTCAAATTTACTGAAACAAGTTATATAAAGATATTCAAATATAGATTATAATTTATAGGGGTTTTTTTATTGGATTAATATAAAAAAAATTTGCTTATTTGCAACAACCGAATATTTTTATAAATATCCCAATAAAATTTCGGAAATAATAGAAATAACATAAGGTTATTGAAAATAATATCAAAGCTAACAAAATGGAAATAAAGTATAATCTAGAGAAATAGAGATGGTGGTGTTAGATACAAAGGAGTGGATGAATTATAAATATTAACTTTAAAAATTTATTCTTGTTGAAAATTACTTATTATACTAGATTCAATACTTGAGTTAGCTTTGCAAGTTTATGTGCAAGCTTAATTCAAACAGTTATTGAGAAGAAGAAATAGTTACAAAGCACGTTTATCTCAACTTCACTTGGCGAAGTTGTCCTATAAGGTTTTTAATGAAATTTTCTCAACCTATACATTCAATATTGAAAGTTTTGATGCTTAAAGATAGAAATTTTCTGACATGCAACAAGCAAGGAATAACTTAGTCACCTTTTTCCAGCAAAATTAAAGATCAATATAGTTAAATTGCACTTGTGCTAACATTATTTTAACAAATTTGCCAATTATCATCAGATATACAGTGATATAACAAAAATTTTACAAGTGAATAAAATATCACAGTTATCAAGAAACTTAATTGTTTATTATAGTAGTTTACAGTTTAATTAAACATATTCTTTGACAAAAGAAAGAAGATGATTATAAATTTTATTTATATGATTAAAAGAATGAATGATTATTAGATACTTATATAGTAATTTGTGAGATTGACAAACCCCTAAAATATTTAAGAATTTTTAAATAACTACAATCGAAAATAGCATAAATGACATTATTCGCGATCGGAAAGTTTATCACAATGGTTTGTGTCAAAAAAATTATAATGAAATGAATTTTTTTTGATGAGGGATTTGATTTTATCATGAGATTTTAAAGAAATTTTTTATCCAATCAAATCTTGGGATACTAATGATAAAATTTCTTAATCTTTGAATGCTCAAATTGCGGTTCAACTATTAAGGAATCATATTGGAATATTAGCTATAGTATAGATTAGTAGCATATTTTAAAGTTGATCTATTGGCCTTTCCATTTTTTTT